CCAATCATAATTTTTCATTTTGTTCATTTTTTTGTAATTATGAGAGGTTGATTAATCATTTTTATTGTGAAAGGTGTTAATCATAGATATTATCATCTTCATTATTTTAATTTTAGAGAAATACATGAAACAGTTTCATTAATGTTAGAGAAAYACATGAAACAGTTTTATTAAGTATTATATGAAACAATTTCACAACCATATATGAAACAACTTCATCAAAAAAAAAAATTATATGAAACAATTTCACAAGATTAAACAATTTCATGAAAAAATTTCATAAGATTAAACAATGAAATCGATAGATGAAGGTGGTTTAAACGGTTTACACAAATGAGGGCGGTTTTCATATGATTACTCCTCTATGTATATGTATGTATGTATGTATGTATGTGTATATATATATATATATATATATATATATATGTATGTAATCTTTATATGTGGCGGAGCTCATGCTAACTCGTTACCTTTGGTGAAACTTGAACCCTTAACTGAATCTACCAGTAACCCGGGTACCACTCAGTTGATGACCCTTTGATCTTTTTTCACTGATGTTTCCTTTTCGATCATTTCTTACATTTTAGGTCATTTGACGTCTAAGAGTGATGTCTATAGTTTCGGGGTTGTTCTTCTTGAAATGTTGTCGGGTCGAAGAGCGGTAGACAAGAACCGGCCATCTGGCGAACATAATTTGGCCGAGTGGGCCAAACCCTACCTGGCCCACAAGCGTAAACTGTTTCGTGTTATAGACAACCGTCTCGAAGGCCAGTACACGCTCGATGGAGCCCATGCGGTCGCAAACGTATCGTTACGGTGCTTATCGGTCGACCCCAGGTTCAGGCCCAGCATGGCGGAAGTGGTCAAAGAACTCGAGCAGCTTCAGGATCCAAAGGGAGCACGACCACGACCACGAAGACACTCGAGTCATGGGAGTCATGGGACCCGGAAGTCGAGCTCCGGTGACCGTAACACGGCCACCGATGGCGGTGGGCCCGGGCCTCAGACTCAAGCTTCTATTTGAAGAAAGTGAATCTTGAAAAGAAGACTAATTTAGGCCAAATGATTGTATAGTTGTTTGGGATTAACTAAGCTTGAGAAGAGACCATCTCTCTTGACCCAATTTGTAAGTTGAGTTTGTTTCTAAATTCAAGTAAATTACAAAACTCACCCTCAAACTTATTTTATTTACAATTTGTGGTCATTTGGGTGCTAGTTTTGCAATTTTGGTATAGACAAATATAGGTATTCTGATGTGACAGAACCTTAATTTTTACGCCGGCCTAAAAAAATAAGACTAAACTACAAATGTAGTCCCTTTGGTTTGTCAAAGTTAACACTTTTCATTTGTTTTCACAGTTTTGAAATTACAAGATAACCATCATGGTTTGTAAAAACGTGGATTTGATCCATCCCTCTAACGATCGTTACCGTTAAAATGGGATATGTTTTCATTATTTTATCGGTTTTTTGTTTTTTACCCGGTCAAAATCCACAGGGACTAAAATCAATTTTGATTGAGAAAGGACAAAAAACCCAATAAAAGGACGTAAATGTATCTCATTAATGAATTTTTTAACGACCATTAGAGGAAGGGATCAAATTCGCACGTTTTGGCAAATCACGGTGACCATCTTATGATTTTGATTTACCCAACAAAAAAGTGTTTGTGTGTGTGTATTGTGTTTGTTGGAGAGAAGTCCGTACCAGAAAAAGGAGAAAGGGTTTGAGGATTATTTGAGATTTTAATTAAAAAAAGCATGTGCTTTTTTATGGTTTTGATTTTGGTGTGATTATTTAGGATTTTCATTTTCAAAGTTGAAGAAATGGAGATGAATATCTGATTTTGAAGTTGAAGAAGGGTTTTTGATTGTGAAGTTGAAGTTGTTCTAGGGAGGTTTTCATTTTGTTTTTTATGGGTAATTTCAAACTTCACACGTAAAAACAAATAGCCTGACTGATTCAAATTTCAGACTTCAGCACCACCTCTGATAAATCAGAAGTGAAATCAGACTTCAGCACATCTTAAAAAACAAACGCGACCTTAGTTTGTTTGTTTTTAACTTAACTAGAAGGATACCCGCACAATGCAGCGAGATACATCTCAATTTTTTGTTTTGTCTTTTTTTTTGTCTCAGTTGATGTTATAATACGATTTTATATGGTTTTGAGAAAACGATAATGTTTTTATTTTTTAAATAAGATTTAAATAAGAATACATCATAAATAATTGAAAAAAATATTGATTTTAGTACCAAACTAACTATTTAAAATTTCTTTTTTTAACGTATTTCTTTAATTCATTTTTTTTATCTTCGGTTTAATAATATTTTTTTTATAAAGATAATAATAAAGTATTTTGATATAATTCAATGATTATCCTAATTATATTTTAGATTTTTTATATTTAAAATGAGATGTTTATCCTTTAGATTATGTTTATCTGCAGTTAGTTACACGAATTCAAACAAGAAGTTTTAATAAGTTGTATTTACGCATAATTTATTTGTAATCTTGAATTTTAAGTAATATGCATCAATAAACAGTACTTCATGCATAAAAAAAAGGTTTTTAAGAGTTTCTGTCAAATGCTTTATAATATAGTATAGATAAGTTTAATGGATAGTTAGCTTAATTGGTTAAGTTATATTATGGTGTTTGATCTTTACTTACTAGTTACTACTAAGATTATTTATTCAGAACAAAAGTCAAACAACAATTTATCTGATCAGATTAATGCTTAGACACAATTTAATAAATTTAAGAACTTAATAGATAGAAAATCATACAACCCCTAGTTTTTTTTTTCCGCTTTAAGATTTTCTTTCGTTCTTTTTTCTAAAAGTTCATATTTTATTGGTATGCTCATATTTTTTTATCAGTCATGGATATTTATGAAAACATATATTTTATCGTTAGGATAGATGTCATATCTGCATGTTTGGTTTAGAATGACTCCAAATATTAGAATCTTGTGAAGGTCGGGTAAAATTCAAGGATTTGTCTTGACATCAGAGATACCTTTTTCAGTAGAAGATCTAAGATTTTTGTCAAGAGAGAGTATCTTTAAGGTAGATCAAATGCCCTCAAAGTCATCCGATGTGTTTTTAGCCAAATTTCACCGTTTTTAGAGATTTTTAAAGTTTTCTGGTTTGTTTCGAGGAATTTTTAAGTTTTTTGAGGGACTTTGCTGGTTGATTTTTTTAGGGAACTTTCCTGTTGATTTCGATAGACTTTTTCGTTTTTTCAGTTGATTTCGAAGTACTCTTTTTCAGTTTTATAGTTGATGTTTCATATATTTTCTCGAAGCACCCCCTAAAATTTAATGGATGCATCTTTCATACCTAAAAAAAATCTTATCTACGGAAATAAGTTAAACATGGTATTAGTGATGGTCAAACCGGCCCGGGACCGCTGGAGGACCGGGACCGGCCAAGGACCGGTTATAGGACCGAAATCTGCGACATGTTATGGATTTGGGGTGTTTCGTGGGACCGAGACCGACCGGGACCAGTTATGGCCCGGTCCAATTTTTAAAAAATGTAGCCGTTTTTTGGCCCTTTATTTGTATTTTTTTTGCTTTCTAAACACTATATATAAGTGTCTTGGTTGAGGGATTTACATACCAAGTTTTCGATTCGCAAAAAACGCAAAAAAACGTTCACAATTATCGGTTTATCGCTACATTTTGTAAGACAATGTAATTTTAATTATAATAAAACGCATTTTTAAAGTGTACTTGAGTGACCAAATTATAAATTTTATAATATATTAAAAATATATATCATTAAAAAAAAAATTAACGGCGACCCATAACCGGTTACAATAAAGTTTGACCGGACTCAACTTTTTTGAGTAAAACCGGGACCGGCTATGAGAAATCTTGGGACCGGTTTTTGACATCACTACAATACACATAGTATATGTGAGCCTATTTGGACATACATAGGTCCACCAGACAGACCCTTTTAATGTTGTTCGCTATAAATACATCTAAATACCCCTTTTACTGTTGTTTCCTATGAATATATCTAAATATGGTATAATTCTCAAATTATGAACTAAATAAGTAAAAACATCTATTATTTTCTTATTTTTTAATATTTTATTTTCTTCCCAAATCCAAAAACACAACTTTCGAGGGAAAGTCGTATATGTTTCCAACACCATCATTTCCAATATTATTTTCTTGCAAGTTGTAACAATACTTGTTGCTATAGATGGTTGCGTCTGAATGGGGTAACTTAGATGATGATTGAATATGTTGAGTTGAGGTGACAATTTTTTTTAATTTCATAAATAATTAATATAAAACTAGAAAGATACTCGTGCAATGCAACGAAATACATCTCGATTTTAATATTTTATTTTATTCTTTATCTCTATCGATGTTATAATACGATTTTATGTGTTTTTAAGAAAGCAATAATGATTTTTATTTTTTTAAATAAAATGTAAATTTGAAGATATCATAAAAATTTGAAAAAAAATATATCAATGTTAATATCAAATCAACTATTTAAAAATTCTCATTTTTTTACATAATTTCTTTAATTTATTTTTTATTATAATTTAATTTAAATTTAATAATGAAATAATTTATTTTTTGTTTAATAATATAACATTTTATGAATATAATAATTAAGTATTATGTTATAACTCAATGATTATCGTAATTATATTTTAGATTTTTTATATTTAAAATGAGATGTTTATCTTGTATTTGATTATGTTTATGCAGTTAGTTACATGAATTCAGATATGGAGCTTTAATAAGTTATACTTACATACAATCTACTTGCAATCTTAAGTTTTAAGTAATATGCATTAATAAACAGTACTTTACGCATACAAAATGGTTTTTAAGAATTTTAGTCAAATGCTTTACAATATAGTATAGATAACATATACACTGACCTAAATCAAATAAACTCAGTGTATGTCTTCTGGAGGTATGTTCTACAAGGAGTAACAAGTACACAGGCCCAAATCAAACAAACCGAGTATATCTCATCTGGAGGTAACGTCTAGGGGGTAACAATTAAGCATACCTTACCTCTTAGAGGCATAAAATAAAACTATGGAACACAAACTAAATACCAGAAAAACACTTAAACAATCAAGAGGTTTTGCTACATTTCTTTTGGCAAATTGTGCTATTTACTTTCACATGTTGACAGGCAAGATTGTGTATACCAACTTACATTCACTACTACTACTTGTTGCTATTGAAGTTCAGAAGAAAATAAAGCTTCATTTTGCTGATCTATTGACAAGCAAGCAACCAAGAATCCATCAGCATGATGGATTCTTGGCATCTTCTTATGGTTTAGAAATATGCATTTTTGATTATGTGAGATTTCAAGTCGAGAAGAGAACCTGCGTTTTTCCTCTTTTCGTATGTACGAAACCTGTAGCGGATACAATGATGGACTTACAACGAGCTTCGATATCACGCGCTGTGTCGAACCATCCCCGGTGGCCAATGTCGCCATTCCATTCGTAAAATTGATCTGTTCCTCAAAGTAACCAATTCCTTGAAATCAAAAACCTTCTTCATGTAATTATTAGCGCTCACCTCTTGTTTTCCTGAATCAGTTTCCACTGCAGCTTCTTCGGGTTCTTCTGTTGTAACGAGTTGGGATTCGGTTTCGGGTTGTGGTGGTGACGTGTCGTTGATGATTTTTCCAAGCATCTCGACCACTTCACTCATTTTGGGTCGGGATTTGGGGTTCTTTGTGAGGCATTTGTTGGCTAGGCAGGAAAGTTTATGGGCTGATTTGAGGGAGTAGTCTCCTTCGAGACGTGGGTCTAATAAAAGATGGAACTTTTTTGAATCTGAGATGTAAGGTTTCACCCATTCCAAGAGTTTCTGCTCGTTTCGTGGCAAGTTCCGCTCTACTGCTCGCCTGCCCGTGATAAGCTCGTAGAGGACCACCCCAAAGCTCCAAACGTCGCTTTTTGATGTTAGTCTACCGGTGTGAAGATACTCCGGAGCTGCATAACCTATCGTCCCAACCACCTTTGGAAATAAAAGACAAGGAGATAATTCAAATAGCAGAAATGGTGTTATTAGTTGGAGACAAATTGCATGAAAATGCAACAAACTTTGGTCTTCTCTTTCAAAGCCTTCATTTTGGTACCTCAAGCATTTAGACCAAAGTAGGTTGCACAAAGTAGGAATTCGACCAAAGTACTTTGCATTTTTTATAGTTTCTCAGGTGTAAACTAGGTACCTAAATGGTTATATTGTCACATCAGAAGTACCAGAATGAAGGTGTTAAAAGTGCGTTACATAAAATATGAATCAGACCAAACTTTGTTGCAATTTCATGCAATTTTCCTGATTAGTTATTAGTTATGTACCATACCCATCATCATGCTTTCCCGGAGGTTACACAAAAACCAGAAATATCGAGTTTTGCATGATGATAGTTTACGATTTTCATCTGAAATCCCTCCTATACCTGTTTAATATCTCTGGGGACTTAAAAAATTTAAACGGAACTCCTTTTATATAAGGGCCATTTAGCTCAATGACCTTCTCCAGGAGTTGTTTTTGCTAAATGACCCTCCAGTGTACTTTCACGTTTTTTCGGGGGCAGGTTGTCTTATATCAGGAGCAGGCTGTTTAACATGCGGGCAGGTCAGATGAAGGTCATTGAGTTAATTTTTTTAGAAGATCATACTCTTAACTGGAAACTCATTTTAGATCATTCAACCAAAGGGCCCTTTATATGATCACCCCTGAACAACTAGTGGGATTGTTTTCAGAAGATTGAGAAGAGAGGAACATACGACTGTTGAAACATGGCTCAGTCCAGCTGCTGGACCCTGTCTAGCAAGTCCAAAGTCTGAGAGTTTTGGGTTGAAGTCTTCATCTAGAAGAATGTTCGAAGTTTTGAAATCGCGAAAGATTAGCTGCACCACATAAAAAACATATAGAATGTTTGAGTTCACTACATGATTAGTAAAAGTGCCTGAAACTCGGTGTATATACAACAAAGAAGACAATATGTGTAAACCAAACAAGCTCAATAAATCCCAACCAGAGGTGGGTTCTTCGGGCGTGGGATGCACGCAGACTTATCATATGCCCCAAAGAGTAGAACACTTGTTTCCATTATAGGGAGAAATATATGTGTGCGCCAGAATAATTTAAGTATCCTGGAAATGGTGTTTGATTTAAGTACCTGGAAATCCATTTCTTCATGTAGATAAGCCAAACCACGAGCTGCTCCTTGAGCAATTTGTAAACGGACCATCCATGAAAGAGGAGACTCTCCACGACCCAATAGATGGTGTTCCAAACTTTTATTGCGCATAAGCTCATACACTAAAAGCCGCTGAATCCCTCTTTCATCGTCCTCTGCACAATATCCCACCAACTTTACAAGGTTTGGATGGTTGACTACCCCCAAAAAGTTCACTTCATTAATCCATTCCTTATGCCCCTGAATACTAGAACATGAAAATTCAACCAAAATCCATAAGATAAAAATACTATGACCATGTTTGGCAAAAGGCAACCATGAGCTAGCTTCTTTTTTGATCTTATTGAAAAAGCCCCTTAGTTAGCCATAAGCTAGATTATAAACTAGCTTTAGAAAAAGTTACTTCAAATAGTGTTTGAATAAGCTCCATGGGCTTCCAAAGGGCCTTTGACCGCGCGGTATGTGCGTCCTTGGCCTCGTAGGAGGTCAAGGGTTCAAACCTCACCACAGGTGGGGAGGGTGTGCGAGCTTATTTGTTTTATTTACCGTATATAAATATTACATACTTCAAAAGTCCATGGGCTTTTTTCCACCATTTTCCAATTATGCCCCTTATATTTTCCCATATATTTTTAATATGTCCTTTTAGGTCATTTTACATTGTCATCTAGTTTATCAACTAGTTTTTACCAAACATGACTAGTTTATCAGATACAACCAACTTATTAGACAACAAATAGCTTATCAGATAGCTTTTGGGCTAGTTTGCCAAACATAACCCATGGAATGGCCAGCAGTTGCACATAGAAGTCTCAAGCCATCCCCACATAACATTATCCCAACATCCATATCAACCACACGATGATAAACCTGAAATCTTGATTGCTTACACATTAACAAACGCTATGCCAGAAGTCTGATATACTGTTGATACATACAACGCAAATCCACCAATTCCAACGCATGTGTAGGGTTAGAAAGAAAGGCTTGATGTGAAAATTGGGCAAGGAAGGTCAGTATGAAAAGAGTATCCAATGCCTATGTTGAGTAAGACTGGTCTGGTGATGTACAAGTCTATAATGGGAAAACAATAACTTGGCATGTCCCCC